CGGGGAGGGGGGGAAATGAGGGCCCCCTGTCCAGGCCTGACACCTCCGGCAGAGGCGTCAGGCCTGGGAAGGGGGCCGATCCTGTGATTGGAGGGTGATGGGGTTAATACCTGAGGGCTCCCAGTATGTGAGAGGGGGCAGGCTGAGTAGAGGGACACTCCCCCCCCCCACCCAGTGCGAATTTCATGCACCGGGCCCCTAGTCACATTATAAACACCTTCCATGTTCTTTTCAATCTCAAAGAAAGAAGCAAAGCTGAGCCACTGATACCAGCTGCTTTAGTTTTATTTTACTCTTTGCCTTTCTAATAGAAAAACTCATCCGGGTTCCTCTCTTTTGTGATAGTGTGGAAAAGTAAGATGTATGCCTCTAGGTGATAGACATACACCTAGAGACATTTTTTTTTTAAAGAGAAAACCTTGTTAAAACTTCATCCAGCTTCCACCCCAATGACTTCCTTGAATGTAGCTGTGTACACTCCCTTGGGTACTTTAGTACTTCTAGTCAGGGAGACTTTGTGATATAGGTAGCAAATATTTTTCCCCAGATTTTTTAGATCTCATTTTATTTAAATTTTTTTGACATGCACAGGTTTTATTTTTAGACATTGAATTTGTTATGTTTTTTGTAGAGTTTCTGGACTTTAAGAGATTAGCTTCCAACTCCATGATGATGAAAGAATTTTCTTATTTTCCTTCTGGGAAATTATCCTGATATATATGAGGTGTGACTCAGTGTTTTAAGGTGATTGCTCAGTTGAAGTTACTCAGTACCATTTGAGAAGTTCCTTTATTCCTGCATATTTACCCCTCTGTTTCTCCCCCTCTAAATTATAGGTCATTGTTGTCTGGGTAGGAACAAACAACCATGAAAATACAGCAGAAGAAGTAGCAGGTGGAATCGAGGCCATCGTACAACTTATCAACACAAGGCAGCCACAGGCCAAAATCATTGTATTGGTACGTAGTCTTTGGGTGGGTGGAGACCTTGATGCGATTAGCTCAGGTGAGGAATCTTAGAAATGTGAGGTTCATGAATATAGGATCTTTAGGTGGAAGCAGGTTATGATACTCCTGAGAAACGCTTTTCTGATATCTTCCATTGTCTTTCTGGTCTCATCATTCCCAGACCAGCTGTGGGGTCATCTTTTATCTGCTCATCCTTGTTTAGAAGTGGAAACCCTCTTGGTTGTCTCAGGTAGCCTTGTTTTTTAAAAATTGTTTAACTGTCTTCTAATAATTTTTTAAATTATATATGAGACTTGTCCTAGTCCTGAGTCTCTTTTTATTAGCCCTGAGTTTGGACTAGTTAGATGTGGTGTGTTCTGTGTCACTGTTAATATGCTAAAGGTGGTGTAGTCATTGGCTCTCTGAATTCCCTGACACATCTGAGATTCCATCACTAAGAAAATGGGTACTTCATAGTCTTAACCTTAACAGAAAGTGCTACCCTTTTAGAGTTAAAGCAGTGAGTCTTCATGGTCTCAGAGACAAACAACTGCCTGTTTCATAGATAAGTGTACCTGTAGATGTCCTTAGCCCAACTAAAAAAGTATGCTTTAGCAAAATCTGATGTGTTCAGTTCTTGAATTAAATAGTGTTAAGAAGATAGGCATTTACTCAATATGTGAGGACTACTATGTGCAAAGTACTGTCCTACGTCCTGCACAGACCAAACTGAAAAGACAGTACTTGTCAAGGAGCTCACAGCCTGGCAGGTGGACAGCGGTATAAAGAGAGATTTATCACACTGTATACTAATGGGAGTAAGGAGAGAATGCTGTGTTTTTGGCATAAACTCTGAGTTTAGTTTTAAAGAATTAATTGGTCTCCAAACTGGGATCGGAAAAAAGAGAAGGCATTATAGAGGACAAAAGAAAATGATCAAGGACTTCATGTATGTGTTTGTTGGGTGAGTGAGCGAGGGTGCTAGAAGAATTTCAGGGCTGTCAGTGGAAAAGTGTGAGACAAGGATTGTTAAGAGGCCACAGCCAGGTCATTTTGGAATTTGTGTGCCATGTTAAGAGTTTGCATTTTATCTTATAGATGCTGGGGAACCAGGTTTGTTTTCTGAAAATATATTTTTATTGATTTCAGAGAGGAAAGGAGAGGGAGAGAGTAATAGAAACATCAGTGATGAGAGAGGATCACTGATCAGCTGCCTTCTGCCCTCCCCTTACTGGGGGTCGGGCCTGCAACCCAGGCATATGCCCTGACTGAGACTCAAACCATAACCTCTTGACTCACAGGTTGACACTCAACCACTAAGCCACACAGGCCAGGCGCCAGGTCTTTTAAAAATTATTTTTATTATGTGGTATTTCATGTCATTTAATTTACTTATTTATATCTTGCTCTGTTCCAGAAAGGATTATATTGTAGTAATGAGTTCTGAAGTATAGTGCCTAGTACATAGTACTTGCTTAGGACATATTTATTGCATGAAGTTGTTGAATAAATCCTCCATACATATTCTTTAGTTCAATCAGACTTAAATTTGATGTACAGTGGTTCTATCTACAACACTAAAACATTGGCAATAACCTAACCAGTCAATCCCATGGGGGAATGATTGTACAGGCCATTTATATAATAGCATTAATCATATGACAATTATGAGAACTGCATAAAAACAATTTGAGATTTCTTTTATCTATTAAATTGTATGTGGATGGGCAAAAAAACAAAACAAAACAATTTGAGATGTATTTAAGTGAAAAATTTAAATAAACTATGTATCTTTTCTTTAGAACTACTTAAAAGTATATATGCAATTGGAAAAGGCAACAATTAAAATCATTATTATAAGGTAAAGAGATTAGGAGCATAATATTTTTTGTGGGGTTTTTTGGTTGTGTTTTGTAAGTGGAAGTAACATATATGGAGGGATAGATTGACTACCTGCAGCAGGGAAGGGGGCCCAAAGCAGTTGCCAGTGAAGCTTCTTTCTCTCAGGTTTCAAAATCCCATGCCCTTAAGCTAGTCCTGGAAAGCGAGGGTTCCAAGAGAGTGAAAAGCAGGCCAGTGTCCAGAGCTTCTGTTCCAGGTTGTAGCCAGGTGTAGTTCAGTCTCTAAGCTAATTAAAGTCCACTAGTCCATGTGTGGAGTCCCAGATGGCCATAAGCCACGTGGGCGCAGGGGAGCATGTCCCCTGCCACAGGAGAGCCAGGAACCCAGTGTGCCAGAGAGCGACAAGCTATGTTTGTTTTAACACAGTGATGGCGAATCTTTTGAGCTCAGTGTGTCAGCATTTTGAAAAACTCTAACTTAACTCTGGTGCCATGTCACATATAGAAATTTTTTGATCTTTGCAACCATAGTAAAACAAAGACTTATATTTTTGATATTTATTTTATATATTTAAATGCCATTTAATAAAGAAAAATCAACCAAAACAATGAGTTCACGTGTCACCTCTGACACACATGTCATAGGCTCACCATCACTGTTTTAACACAATATTTTAGCAATTACTAATTATTTTAGGGGGGAAGTCCCATGGCATACCCTGATTCTCATATACTAAGGAAAATATATACAAACTAGAGGCCCGGTGCACAAAAATTTGTGCACTTGGGGGGTGGGGGGGGTCCCTCAGCCCGGTCTGTGCCCTCTAGCAGTCTGGGACCCCTCAGGAGATAACGACCTG